ACAGAGATCGCCTGCCTCTGCCTCCCGAGTGCTAGGATTAACGGCGTTAGCCACCAACACCTGGCCAGCCTCTTCCTTTTCAATGCCTGTTTATTTTTGCTTATTTTGGTTTAGCTTTTCTTCTCCCCACCCCCGATGTTTTCAAGAAATGTGCACAATGATGTTTCAATAGCAAGGCTGATGCCATGGATGTAAAAGCCGCAATCAGAGTGGGTGCAATTCTAATTAAATGATCGGTAACATCACAGCATGCTGGGGGGAAGCATCAAAACTGTCCATTAAGTTTCTCTTTTCTTGAGGATCAGAGGTTACACATTGTGTCCAGTCTCTTCCTTGTTTTTTATGTGATTCCCCATCAGACCTCCAGCATCATTACTCGACCTTATCTCCCAGATCCTTCATGTAAAAGGCTTGCACCACCTTGGGGTTGTCTTTCTGGAACTGAAGGTTCACCATAGCTTTCATGTGATAGTCTTTAACATACAACTTTTTGTTGGGTTTTCAAGATGGTTTCTCTGTGTAGCCTTGGCGATCTTGAAATTTGCTCTGTAGATCAGACTGTCCTTGAACTCAAAGAGCCTCTGCCTCTTGGCTGCTAAAATTGGGGGTGTGTGCCACCACTGCCAGGCTTTTAACATAAAACTTTTTGGAAGCCAGGTAACCAAGTGTTGCTCAGGAAGCAAATGTAATGGCTGTAATCCCCTCAACTGCCACAGTGGAGCTGGAGCTGAGGCCCACAGCGCAATCCTATTGCTATGGAAGACTGCACGGGCAGGTTCTGGGGACCACCAGGGCCACTCTGTGTCACTGCTCAATGTTTATTTTTGGTGTATATTTGATTCACTTTTTTTCTTTTATCACTCTAGCCCAGCAAGGATCAAGGATCCCTTAAACTTGGGGTCCTCCTTTCTGTGTCAGTTTCCCAGAGCTGGGGCTACAGTCATGTGCATACTTTGTGTGTGTGTGTGTGTGTGTGTGTGTGTGTGTGTACGTACATATGTATGTATGTGTGTATGTATGTATGTATGTATGTATGTATGTATTTTTCCTTCTGCTTTTTTATAAATGATTTTGTGTCAGCAGTTGATAGTTTTATGCTGAATAGTTTTACCCCCTGAATATTCTATAGAAATAAATTTTTCATACTTTTTGTTTTCCCATCCCCAGGTTCCTTCCAGATGCTTCCCACCTCCCTATAGGCCCTACCCATCCAATTTTATGTTCTTTCTCTCTTTAAAACAACAAAAATTCCCCACAAAATGAAAAGCAAAGCCAATAAGCCAAAGACCAATAAAACAAACAAAAAATGTCCAAACAAAGTATATGAGACAAAAAGTCTACAGAAATACCATTGAGTTCATTTTGTGTTGGCCACTTCCTGCAGGGCATGAGGTCTGCCCTCAAGTCTGGTCAATATACCCAGTGAGACTCCACTGCAGAAAAATGAGTTTTCCTTTGTCAGTGGGTGTCAATTGCAGATAGCTTCTTGGTTGGGGTGAGAATCCATGTCTACTTCCCGCTCAGTGCTAGGACCCTATCTGGCTTGAACCTGGGGAGTTCATATGTGTATGAATCTTGTTGTGTGTGGAAGATACGGACTTCTTGGAGTCATGCATTACCTCTGGTGCTCTGGTTTTTTAAGACAGGGTTTCACTGTGTAGCCCTCACGATCCTGGAACTCACTCACCTTTGGCTGTTATAGTCTTTCCACTTCCTCTTCTGCATAGACCCCTGCGCTTTGGGCGGGCTTTGATGAAAACATCCCATTTAGGACAGAGTGCTCCAAAGTCCCTCACTCTCCACATTGTCCAGCTGTGGGTCTCTGTGTTAGTTGCCATCTATTGCAAGAAGAAGCTTCTCTGAGGAGAGCTGAGGAGAGCACTGATCTCTGGATATATCAGAATGTCTTTAGGAGTCATTCTATTGTGATGTTCCTTTAGTAAAATAATAGTATTAGGTTTTCTCCGAGACCAGTGATCTGTATAGTCTCAGGTTCTTAGCACTTGCCAAATATGAGTTCCATCTCATGAAGTGGGGCCTTAAATCCAATCAGAAAGTGGCTGCTTATTCCAATAACATTTTGTCACTATTGCACCAGTGTATCTTGCAGGTAGGTCATTATTACAGGCTACAGGATTTGTAGCTGGAAGATATTGATGAATGTATAGTTTCAATAGACATATATCCACATGGTCTAGTGAAAATTCTTCCTTACTTAATTTCATCTCCACAAGTGATTTGCATTTTTGCTAAAAATTCTATCCATTAAATGTATATGGGTATTTTTCTATAAATGGAAAATGTATACTCTAGTTTCTCTTCAGATCACATAAATCTTTCACCTTTTACTAAAGATAAATGGAAACTATATATACATATATGTACCCTACAGTTTTTGTTTGGCGAAACAATCTCACTATGTCTCCCAGGCTGGCCTGGAACTCAAGGAGCTCTACCTGTCTCTAGTTCCCAAGTACTATGATTAAAGGTGTGCATCACTTTCACCAACCCTGTGTACTGGAATTTTTTTCCACTTTTGACATCCCTTTCTCCTAAGCTTATAAACTACTGCATACTTGTTTTATTTCATTTGAGACAGTGTCTCAGTACCTAGCCCTAGCTAGCCTTTGAAACTAGGAATGTAGACTAGGCTGGCCTTGAACTTACAGAAACCCACCTGCTTCTGCCTCCTAGGTACTAGGATTAAAGGTGTGTGCCACACCAGCTCTGCTTCATGGTTTTGTTTTTTGTTTTTATGAAATTGCCCATGTATACATATGTATACATATGCATGGGCGTGCACATCATGGAACATGTGTAAATCAAAGAACAGCTTTCCTGAATCAGTTTTCTCCATCTACCAGGTGGTTTCTCAGAATTGAATGCTAATCCCACTGATGGAAAATGAGACCACTACCACAGTTTAAAGCCAAATTTGAAGCATGCTTTAATAGTGGCCAAGTCCATCTCTGGGTTTCCAAAAGATGGCCCCAGAGTTATGGTTTACAGTGGTTTAAGTATTTCCTGTCAGATATAATCAGGGGCAAGCATATATCCTGATGTCCCTCCAGCCTATATCTAATTGGGGGCAAGTGTACATCCTGATGTATTTCCTGCCTGTAAACTTCCCACCCACATGTGATCAAAGCATATCAGGTGCAGATGGGTCAAACAAATTTGTGTAGGGGAGTGAAAACATGTGACTTGCTATCTCCTATAAACAATAGCCTCCAGCATTTCAGGAACTATCTGTCCTTCAGCAAGGGGATTGCAGACCAGAGGCATAGTAATTAAAACTTAAAATGTAACTTTGGCTTTCACAGGAACTCATACTTTTTAAGAATCTACATAATTCCTTCTATTGCTTATTCCATATTGATGAACTTTGAGTTTATTTTCTGCTGTGGTGATGAATTTCTTTATTTGAATGTATGCTGTTTGGGAATAAGGATTTTTGTCCTACTCTATGTTTAATACTTAGAATTTAGTATAATGTGCTGACTAATTTTATGTTAAATTGACACAGGTTAGTCATTTGAAAGGAGGGAACCTCAACTGGAAAACATGCTTCCATAAGATCAGGCTATAGGCAAGCCTATATCACATTTTCTTAGTGATCTATGAGGGAGGGCCGAGTCCATTGTTGGCAATGTCATCCATAGGCTGGTGGTCCTGAGTTCTATAAAAAAGCAGGACAAGCAAGCCATGAGGTGCAAGCCAATAAGCAGCACCGTTCCATGGCCTCTGCATTAGCTTCTGCCTCCAGGTTCCTGCCCAGTTTGAGCTCCTGTCCTGACTTCATTTAATGATGGGCTAAAATATTGAAGTATGCTCACAAATAAGCACTAGGAAAATCAGGAATGTTAAACACATCTCCTCAATTAAGGAGATGTGTACCTGTTTACCACCCAGAAGTCTGGGAGTGGATGCTGTCTGTAGGGCCAGACCACACCTGAATCCCCCAGACTATTATCTTTATTACAAACATTTCCTCCCTAGACCTTTATCTTTAGCTTTGTTTCTCAGTCAATAGAACTCATCCTTTGGAGAGATGTCACAGGTACGTTGCAGTTTGGTGACCTCTATGATGACTTAGATCACACCCAATCCTCCCCTGAGACCTTAAGCTATAGAACCTATCCTTACTGAAGAGGCAACATTTTTTTTTTTACAAAAGAGTATCAATGTAGTCACCCCTTAAGCTTTAAGCTTTGTGATAACCGTCACCAGGAAACTTTTTCTAATGTTGTACTGTACTTAAATATAACTAAAATAACCCAGTGTCAGATTCAAGTTTGAACCAACGCAGGCTAAGTTGTGTTGAATTGGATTTCCTTCTTGACTTACAAGGATGGTTACTCTGCAGGCCCTGATGTTTACAGAGACCCCTCACAGAAGTGTAAATTGAATAAGCCCTTTCTTCCTCAACTTGCTTTTGGTTCTGGTATTTCAACACAGCAATAGAAACCCTAACTAAGACAAATATCTAAAAGATATTCTTGAATGAATTGCAAACTTTGAAGTGTTGCTACACAACAGCTTTTCATTCAACTATAAACAAATACTAGAAGCCTTTTGATGAAATGATTTCTCTTTTAGGTGTTTATCCTAGAGTTTAAAATAACACAAATGTAAAGAGAGAAACTAAGTTATTATGTGTATTTTAAATGCTATTCCAAAACTTTTCACCAAATTTAGATACTGTATGATTGATAAATTTAGTGCGATACTGTATATATAGTAGCATTAGAAACTTTTCAAAGAACTTACATTTAAATGAGGAAAACATAGTTTTATTTTTTATTTTTATTTATTTATTTATTTGGTTTTTTGGGACAGGGTTTCTCTGTGTAGCTTTGGAGCCTATCCTGGCACTCGCTCTGGAGACCAGGCTGGCCTCGAACTCACAGAGATCCACCTGCCTCTGTCTCCCAAGTGCTGGGATGAAAGGCATGTGCCACCAATGCCCGGGGAACATGGTTTTATAATGACATATAAATCTATGCAGAATGATCAGCTGCTGAGGGGTACAAGTCGTCATATGCACACATTGCATGCATGAGGGTTCAATCCCTGACACTGCAGGTAAACAAAAGGGCAAGAAGAAAAGGAGGCCTCAGAAAAGAGATGGGCTTGAAAGTAAGTGACCCATGATCATTATCATTATTAACAGTTACTGAGTACCTACCACATGCCAGGCAACAATAAGAACTTTGTTCCCCTTAACCACCACACACATAACCTATGAGGGAGTTCCTAGTTAATAGATAAAGCTGAAACACAAAAATGTTAAATGCCTTAAGTCACCTAGCTAATAAATGACCAAACTAGGATCAGACACAGTCCAAGTCCAGAGCCCATTTTTAGAAGTTATGAGATTTCATGGCAAAAGGCTTTAAAGGAGCAAGTGCTAAAGCACAGGTACAGTGTTGTTTTGAAAGAGCATGCAGGGTGGCTTTAAGCACTGCTGGGGCCTGGTTTGCCCAGCAGCAAGAAGGCAGATAGGAGAGAACATCCAAAGTCAAACTAAGTACAACTCTGACTAACATACATGCTCCAAGTATGAAGCTTCCAAACAAAGAGCATTTTCCCCTCACTGTCTCTTTAACAGTCATTTCTGAGATGATGCTGGTATGGTAGTAGTTTCTGGTTTGGGTGTTTTATTGCCCCCAGGGATCCCTTCAAAGACATAGCATTCACTTTTGTCTCCAGAGGCTGAGGTTCTAGTGCTGACCAGATGAAAGCCTTCCTTTAATAAAGTATCAATCAGCAAGACAAAGACATTTGTTCCATTAGTCATTTTTTTGGTTATCAGGCTTTATGGATATGTACCTGAGACATACAAATAAGTATTTTATTACAAAGCATTCCTTTAATAACTAATAAATCTACACATATAAACTTGTTTACAACCTCAGATAAAGGCATCATACCTCTCTTGTTTTTTTTTAAATGGTTTATTTATTTTCATGTGCATTGGTATTTTGCACACATGCATGTCTGTGTGAGGGTGTCAGATTCCCTGGAGGTAGAGTTACAGGCAGCTGTGAGCTGCCACGTAGGTACTGGGAATTGAACCCATATCCTCTGGAAGAACAGCCCTGATCTTAACCACTGACCCATCTCCTCAGCCCCTCTCTTTGGTTTTTTAAGACAGGGTTTCTACACAAAGACCCATGAGGGCCTTGAATGAAAAAAATAAATAAAAAGGAAAGGAACATGACTGCTCCTAGGAACAATAGAGGAGAAAGTTTATTTTATTTTATTGGTTTTTCCAGACAGGTTTTCTCTGTGTAGCTTTGGAGCCTATCCTGGCACTCGCTCTGTAGACTAGGCTGGCCTCGAACTCACAGAGATCTGCCTGCCTCTGCCTCCCGAGTGCTGGGATCAAAGGCCCTTTGGCTGAGAAAGTTTATTATACATAAAAGGGAGAACATAGGTCGAGAAAATGGTGTCAGAACGTGGTTTTACGAACTTCCACGTAGACTTCACAAAAGCTTAACAAGGGATTTTAGCAGCAAAAGAACAGAGACAAACTTGACTTCTTGGTAACAGCATTTTCTCAGGTGGTCCTGTTTTGCCAGAGACAAGCAGAGACTCGAGCGATTCCTGGCTCAGCATAAGTGGAAAAACCCACAGGGCTCGTTTTAAAGAGGCCCAGCTAGCTCAGTCAGTAGAGCTTGAGACTCTTAATCTCAGGGCCATGGGTTCATGGGTTCGTGCCCCACGAAGCAGGCAGTGGCAATGACCACATCTCCAAGCTGGCAGCATGCTGCTTGATTGCAGCATAGACCAAGGCACTGAGCACAGTTCTCGGTGCTGGTGGTATAGGTACCCCGCCATCTTGGAAAGACATTGGCTAATACAGCCACTGCTTTCATTTAGCACTGTTGTTTAAAAGATTGCATGGCCAGAAAAAGACACAGATTTACAGTAAAGACATATGACATATTGAGATGAAGAAAAAACCTCTAAAGGTTAACAATGTGTTTAAAAACATATATAGGCTTGTGAAAGAAAAGGAAACAGGATAAACTTAAAAAAAAAAAAAAAGAGAGCAGCTGGATGTGGTGGGACCTTTAATCTCAGCACTTGTGAGGCAGAGGCAAGCAGATCTCTGTGACTTCAAGGCCAACCTGGTCTACAGAGTGAGTTCAAGGGCAACCAAAGTTACACAGAGAAACCCTGTCTCATAAAAGGAAAACATAAAAGTAAAAGAAATAGAGTAATGAAAAAGCCATGTAAAGATGGAAAATACACAGAGAGTCTGGATACTATATGCTATATTGTTGTCTTTAAATTGTTTGATTGCTGAGGAAAAAGCTACGACTGCTAAAATACATTTGATTATAGGTACTGCTAAATTAATCCAATTTATACATTTTAAAAATGCTTTGACTTCAAAATTTAAGTCTAAGGACAGGCTACTTGGCAAAAGAATTTCTGCTTTTGTTTACACAGGACATGAAAGGTTGTGAATTTCTTCCAGACTAACATGGTTTGATCAAGCAAGACCCTCTGAAGCAGTGGCCCAACTGATCCTACATCCAAAACATCTGAGATGATGCAGTCAAAGACCACTACAGCCAGGATTTCTGTGTTTTATCATGATCCCCATGGTATGGACATCTCCCCCAAACAGCAGGAAGCAATTTGGAATGAACGACGTCCGAATTCCCAAATATTGTTTATAAATGTTTGTTTCATTTAAATGGGTTGGTTATATATGGTAATGAGCATAGTCAATCTTTTCAAAGGAAAAAAAGGCAGGAGTAGGGTATAGGAATGAATACTTTGCATTGGTATGGATTTTCATTTATTGATACAATTTTTAAGGTCAATATTGTGATATGTATGTCTCCCCTTGTTTAGGTATTGTGTTTATACAGATCTTTTAAAATGATACGCATAATTAAATCCAGGTTATATAGTCACCTATGATAGTCAGAACTTATAATTAGGTTAGCTAGGCTTTCTAGATATACAAAGATGTATTTGAGATGGATAGATATTCTTCAAACCTTTCAAAGATCTACAGAAAAATGGCATTTAAATGGTTTAGGGCTTAACTGCTCCAGGCACACTAATTACATCAGAAAGGAGGATGGGCATCGAAGAAACTCATTATGGAGCTTGCCTTCAACATGGCAACATTAGCCATTTGGGCAAGAAACTACTCTTGCCTGTACTGTTTGTTGCAGAATAAACTGGACATGCAGGACCCACAAGAAAGTGACTGCTGAACTTGCAAAACAAGTCAGTCCTGAAGGGTCCCGGCTTCATGGAGAAGTCTGCCAGACACACTGCAGCCTATGGGCTGAAGATGGATGCCCCAACGTTACAGAGGAACTTTGGGTACCTGTCCAGGTAGCAAGATGCCTCTGACAGATCTAGAGTTTACATATTATCTTTCTGTGGTCTTTGATGGAGTTGAAGACAGATAGTTAGGATTATAGTTTTCTTTAGTTACTATAAAAGAGAAGTTACATGTAAGACCTTAGACTAACAAAAATAGGATAGATAATAGAATATTTTCTTTAAATCTTGCTAAATGTTAATGGACTATATATCATAACTATAGTTCTTACGTGATAATTGTTTTGTTATATATCTTTACTATGTTAATGTTAAAACCCTTCTTTTTTAGGCAGAAAAGAGGAGATGATAGGGGAAGTCCTTCTGTGTATATTTATCTTATTGGTTGCTGAATAAAGTACTGTTGGCCAATATGGAAGCAAGATAGGTGGGACTAGGAGTTGAGGAGGATTCTGGGAAATGTAGTAAAAAGAAGTCTTATGATCCAGGCAGGAAGTGACATAGCAGGCTGACTCAAGAATATAAGCAGGGACAAGCAGGAAGTTGCTCTCTTCCTCTTCCTCTTCCTCTTCCTCCTCCTCTCTGGAGCCACCATATGATCCCAGGAAGACAGGACACAAGGCTGGTGTCCTCTATAAGTCTTATAAATATATAAATTAATAGTTATGGTTGATAATTAAGACTGAGCTAGCAGATAAGAAATCCTAGTCATTGGCCAGCAGCACTGTACCTAATAAAAGTGTGTGTGTTATTTTAACCACCAATGTGGCCTCGGGGCTTGGGCAACTTGGCATAAACACTTATTGTTACATGCAGGGACATCTGGGAGAATCCAGAGTGCACATGACCCTTAGCCATGTGAGAAGGGGGAGAAGAAGGGAGAGTGGACAGAGAGGAACCAGGCACTGCAGCCAGGAGGCCCAAAAAAAGTAGACAAAAAAGGAACGGGTAACCAAAATGGTTGGATTATTTAGGGAAGGGGAGCCCAATCCCTGGGCTGGAGAAGTTTAGGGTAGTGGGGCAGGTATGCCAGCCAGAAGGACCCTGTAACAGGTAGGACTGAAGGTTGCTGGGAGAACCTATTGGCCAGCATCCATTTTGATATGTTAAATAGATACCTAAACTATTTGTTCCAGGCCTCAAACTCATGATCCTCTGCCTCAGACAAAATGCTAGGATTACAGGTGTGGCTTAGCAACTTTTTTTTTTTTTTTTTTTTGGAGACAGAGTCTTATCCCTGGCTGTCCTGGAACTCATTTTGTAGACCAGGCTGGCCTCAGACCTGTGCCTCCATGCCTGGCTCATAACTTTTTAAAAACAGATTTCCTTTGGAGATTTCATCTTGAAATTCAAATCAATAACTCTAGATATTAAAACAGAGACTGTGATACAAAATCATCCCAATTACACTTATGATTATAATCAAAATTGTTAACTTATCATTTATTTTCTGGGACAATTCTATCAAAGAACTAAACTGGCCTAATTTTTGATATAGTATGTTATTTCCAGTTTCTTTTTCAGTTTGCTTTTACCCAGTTTGACCTAAATGATTATTAAATTGTTTTATTAACACTGTACTTTCACAGTTTTCCACTATATCTAATTTTTTAGTACTACCATTATAACTTGTGGTTTATTCCTGTCTAACCAGCCTTTTCATGTCAAAATTTAAAGATATAAAATGTAAAGACTCCATTTTATTGCTACCTTTTCATCAATAATTGCCTGTTACTGGAAAGCAAAATATGGTAGTCAAAAACAAGATTGAAAATGAAAAACCCCACAAGGGGGGTGGTGGTTCACACCTTTAATCCCAGCATTCAAGAGGATCAAGGCAGATCTCTGTGAGTTTGAGACCAGCCTGGTCTACCTAGTGATTTCCAGGATAGCCAAGGCTACACAAAGAAACCCTGTCTCAAAAAAAAAAAAAAAAAAGAAAGCAAAACCCTTTACTCACTAAGTACTCCACAAAGCCAGAACATGGCTCCAGAAAATAACACCCATATTTGCTTTAGTTATGGCAATATAGCACAAAGAATATCTGCCATCAAAGATATTTTTGTGTCTTCCCGCAGTTTGTTCTAAAAAATGTTAAAACAGGCTTAGGTTGGTTCCAGGCAGACACCAAAGTTATGCATAGTTTCATGAGTGTAAAACAATATTTGAGCACAGCCCTAGTCTTTTTTTTTTTTTTTTTTTTTTGTTTGGGGGGGGGTTTTCTCTGTATAGTTTTGTAGACCAGGCTGGCCTGGAACTCACAGTGATCCGCCTGTCTCTGCCTCCCGGGTGCTGGGACTAAAGGCATGGGCCACCCCTGCCTGGCTTCTAATCATTATTAACTGAGGTCATGCTGAAATGTTCCCTGGAGGTCACGTTCAGGAAATCATTACTGGAAAAGAAAACAGTTAATAGTTTAAAAATTATCAATCTACAAAGCATATCTCAAAAAAAAGTTTATTGTGTTTGATACAAATTTTTAACAGTAGTAAAGCATTTCATCTATTCCCAAGTCTGTATCTAAATTATACAGTCTAGTAACAGTTGTCACACAGTTACAGAATATCATGAAAGTATTAAGATGCAAATAGAAAGTAATAGGTGGTTTAAAAAAAAGAATGTACTTCAATAAACCACTGAGCAAAAACTACTACTCCTGACTCCCTGTGATGCCAAACTGAAAAGGGATTTCAAGACATAAGAAAAAGATGAACTAACAGAAAACCTGTACTTCTTTCTAGTGTTGCAGGTAGAACCCAGGGCCTTCCCCAGTGCATGCCAGGCAAGGACTTCTCCAGTGAGTTCCATCATCACACCTTATTTTAAAAAGTTAAGGTCAACTATTCTTTTCCATCTAGTTTAACATAAAAAGGAAAAATCAGAAAACGGGTACAAATGAAACTCTAGAATCCTGAGACCATAACTTGAACTAAGCAGTGTGCTGTCACATGAATGGGCATCTGAAGATGCAAGCCAGGGACCTGAGAGAGAATAACCAAGCAACTTAGAAGGCTAAGAACACACTGAAGAAGCTTGGAAGCCAGCCAGGCCTATTCCACCATATCCAGCATCCAAAACATCTGAATGGACAGATTCACACCAAAGACTAGCAACAATTACAAATCAAAAGTATTTATGCCCAGAGTTTTCACCCAATCACCATTTATTTTCATATCACTTTAAATAAAGAAGAATTCCAAACTTAACCAAATATATCACCACATGGTAGCTGGGTGTAATATATGCCTATAATCTTAGCATTCAGGAGGCAAATACAAGTGAATCAGAAGTTCCAGGCTAGCCAGAGCCACAGAGATCCTATAAAAAATAGAAACTAAAGAAATAGCTCTGGACTTAGAATTATCTGTTAGGAAAATTAAATATGCCTTTCTCAGATTAAGAGTTGCAAAAAAAAAAAAAAAAAATTCTATGCTGTTTCTGAAACATATACCAAAAGGGGGGGGGGGGGACACCTGATGTGTATATACAAGAATGATCCAATTTCAGTTTCTAACCCTATTTTCTAAGATTATAATTAGCTCCTCCAAAATCTAAATTTTAAAAGAACATTTAGTATTCTATCTATCATGTGTCTCCCGAAAATTGAGGATGCCATTTTTTCCTTAGGGTTCTAACTTTCTGAAAAGGAACACCAAAAAGATCATTATCATTTAATTGAAATTTGAAACAATAAAAATTCCATTATTCCTCTTATTTAAGTACTTATTTCCCGAATGAAAATGAAGAACAGAGTTTAAAGCAGTTTGGTAACAACAGGACCTTGGGTGTTCTTCATGGCTTAATTAATTGATACCCATTTCTAAAATGACATTTCAGCTTTTTTGGAAGACCAGGAAATAAGTATATAGATTTATTGGCATACTTGGCTATAGCTCATTGTCCTCCAGTTGGTAGCTGAGACTAAGGTATGTGTTGAGGGAGATATAATCACTGGACTCCTTCCTGATAGCTACTGTAAAGGCTAAGAACTCTAAAATATGTCTATCTCTCAAAAGTGATTGCTTTTAAATGCTGTAAGTAAAGACAAAAAAGTTCTTTTTCCTCCTAAAAGTTAAAAACAGCTTTCACAGTTGGTAACAATCACACACAGCATTAAGAAATTTTTAACGGGATGAGGTAGTGTGTCCCTTACTACAGGGCAGAAATCAGCCTTAGGATCCAGCCAGGTGCAATGGTGGTGCTCACTTTCAATCCCAGCATTCGGGAGGCAGAGGTGGTGAGAGAGCCACAACTACATAATTAGACCTTGTCACAAAAAAAAAATTAATAAATACAAAATAAAAGCAACCATAGTTTTTAAGGTCTAGAAGAACAAAAGTGTGTGAGGGAATCCATCATACCACTGAACCTCTCCTGTGTTCAAGCCAGAAAGAAGCTAATTCATTCTAAGCCATTCATTAGCAGTGGAATATAATCTACAGAATCAGTTCCTCTTACAACTACAACAGTTTCTATTTTCCCTGGGCAGTCTTGGTTTATTACCTATCCCACAATACCTCCTTAGTCTGAAAGTGCCCAAGTTTAGAAAATAACTACTTGTTCTAGCTGAACAAAACATTAGTCTGAATAAACATTTTTTGCCAGGAAGAGTTTTAGGCATAAAGAACTTTTCAGTTTGGAAAGAAAATGTCAGAAAACTGGAATAAAAGAGGTGCTTCAGCATTCAAAATACCTGACTCCAGTGTGGTTTTCAATAATGCCATCAGAGCCACAGTAGAAAACCAGGTCATGGTGAGAAGGTCTTTGTGGAGGCAGTGGAAGTAAAGTCATCTGAGGAGGGAAGGGGTTACTGCTCCGGGGCAGTGCTGCAGGTTGCTCTACAAACACTGTAATCCTCCTAGTTAGCAGCTCAATTGTTTTGCTACAAAAGCTAAACACTCTGAAGAAGGCTGGATTATTTTGGTTTAGGAAATGCACCTCCATGACAGCAGGTCTTGATTGTAGCAGGTGCTGGCTTAAGAGATCAACAAGAGAATCAAGTCATAGAAAAGAGCTTCTCTCTGAAGCCTAAAATATTCTGAAAAGTCAGAGTAATACAAGCTCATTTCTCAGAAAATCTAAAATGAAACTAAACAAAGCACCATCTCTATCAACAAAAATCTGGGCCATCAACTGTCTTGAATTCTTGGTCTCTGCCATCTAACAAGCCTGCCAACAGAGAGGTAGGGAACTGCTTTAGGGTAGATAGCCTTGTTGTGAATATCTTCCCTCCCAGGTCCTGACTACTCTTTCTTCCTAGCTTCTCATTAGAGGCTACAAACCATTAACAGACTTGTAGAAACCCTCTAACCCTAACCTTGGAACTGTAAATGTTTTATATGATTAAGAAATAGGGAAGTAGAGAAAACTAGACCTAAATTCCAAGGTAACTATTGTCAAGACAAATAATGTATCCATAGCTATGCTTGCAAATGTGAGTTGCTTGGGAACTGAACTTGCAGTGTATAAAATGAAAACACCAAGTGAAACAGAATGTCAGTGTAGCTCATGATATCAGATAGATCCCTTTCCTGTAATCCACTTAAAAAAAAAAAAAAAAAAAAAAAAAAAAAAAAAAAAAAACTTTACAAAAGGTGAGAGGGGAAGGG